CAAAGCAACGGGAATCGGCCATTATTTAGTTGGATTAACCAACTAATCTCTTCGTGCATTTTAACGAAATGAAAATATCTACAATGTTATCTTAAGAGACTTATCGAGACCCAACTAATCTCCATAGGTCCATTTTTTTCATCGATTCTTCTATATCGGGCGTACCTAATTTAATTTATAGCATAGATATGAAGACCAGGATGGCGTGACCTTTGTTTGACCGCAGCCTTCTTTAGCTTCATAGTGTTGGTTTAACCTTGTTTTCGCAACTCGGTCGGAGCGCCAGGTGGAACCTGTGGAATGCACTTAGTCCTGTGTCTGCTATTAATTTCATTTCATCTTTAAGACTCAACCGCACCTGATTTAGATTCAAATTTGGAATTTCATCTTTATTTCGTGAGCTATTCCAAATTATCGAAGGTATAAAGACCGAGGTGGTGTGGCCGCAGTCTCCTTTCGTTGTATATAGGTTGTGGTTCAACATTTAACCTGATCAAAGCCAGCACAAGCAACTAGGGCATGGCAAGTATATACTTGGTATTAGGGATAGAGAATGGATAGACGAGGCGGCGATTCGAGCTTGTTGGCTAACAGCAGGTTTCACAAGAGGCGTGGTCAATGTAGCAAGGACATGGCAATGAAACTTACTCTGAGGCTTTTGCCTCTAATCAATCACCCCGGTGCAGGGGATGGACGAATTTCGCATCGAATAGCACAGATGGTAGGCGGGGGTCGAGTGAAATACATGTACCAGGGAGATAGCAGACTGATTCGACGGGGCAAGAGAGATACTTCGATAGGTCCCAGGGAAGGACTACGTAATAATATGGCAGACTGATCAACATTCCCAGCACTAGGGTGAAGGGTTTTAATGAATGCCGCTCGAAGGAGCACACCACACTACATTAAAAATGAGCACGGTAAAATTGTGACAGGGAAGGCATGATAGGATAGGGCGGAAGGGGAGATATCCTAACTGTTTGGCAAACGTTTGCTCAAAGGATGGGCTTCACTTGTCTCTGACGCGTTGTAATATGCTACGAATGGCGAGACTCACTGACGATGCCAGCAAAACGTCTGCTAATGTACCACGTCCATGGTCATACTCTGGAAATGATGATTCATATTATGGACTCTGGACTAGGTGCGTTCATCTAATTCTTCCTACCAATGTGTCCGAGTTGCGAAAACAAGGTCAAACAACTTCTATTCCAAAGTACCTTCTCATAAGGATATACCAAAGCTTTGGACCACTCTCCCTTGGCTTTTGCTTTATTTTACTATTACGTTTTCGCTCGACCTAGCTCATTTGCCATTCCATCAAACTCATGGCTGGAATTTGGTTTCACGAAAATGAATTTTTTTGTTCAATAAATGAACTTATCGATGACAGCGTATTTTTGCGAATCAACTAAAATCCTGTATTCAAATTGCACTGCATTATACTTAAAACCTGATCCAAATTAATCCTCATTCCGTGTTGAACATGCTCAAGATATCCATGATGACTGGGCATCCAATAGGATAGCTGGTAGGATCTCTTACGACTAGACCTTTGAGAACTCTGGAATGTTGTTACTCAGCCGACCTAAACCTGTACTAAGCAAACTACAACTACGATTGTGACCACTTCCCATTCGTCCTGTGCTCTAGATGCGCATCTCGTTTATAATTAAACGTTACATAGGCCCGCTTCCGTTCCGGGTGTTCGTTTGTATTAGTAGTAGCAGGTACAATAATGGGAGCATTTATGTGAGTGGGTAGAATGCTCGGAGTAGTGTGAATAAGGCTATATCCACGCCGCCTAACCGCAACGTATCATATTGGCCCAATGATCCAAGGAAGGGGAGAACTTGCCTCCGTCGAAGAGACAACTGTTCTGGATGAGGATAAGCCAGCCTAGAAGCATATATGCTTATCCTTCCCACCTCATAAGACGGTTTTTTGTACCTAAAACAATCGTATCCATCGATGTTTCTAACTATACAATTCAAATCATTCGATGACCTCTTTCTGTCATTCTACAGTTGGGTTTCAAAAGTGAGGCGGAGCTAAAAAAAAATCACAATTCTGAGTGTAACTCTTGCCCGCGAGCTTACGGAATGTATTGAGTCATGACCGCTTTAGCGTCCCCGAGGTAATATATCCGTTGTCTCTAGCTCCAGTTGCCTTGTCGCCTTAAGGGTCTGTTGGTCACTTCCGTTACAAGTTATATTCTCAATACTTCTCACTACTTGATTCTACCCAAATTATCCGTTTCTTCAATACCTCTCTAGAAGTTAAGGGCCAATATTTATTTAGGCAATAGTACATCTTGAACATTCAGAAGTTAGCCCCACCAAATCTTTACCACGAGCACTTATTGTGTAAATTGCACCTTAAAATTAAAACTATTTCTTGCCTTAATTTAATACCAAATACGAATCGTTAATTCGCCTCATTAGAGGACATTGATAATGTTTGGCCCGGGTAGTAGACCAGTGAAGGAGACGTTACTCTGGGTGTAGCGGCCATCGGCAATCTGTCCAATCCCTGGCAAAGGTGTGGGCTACAGGGTAGTTTCTGCGAAATTTCATAAATTAAATTCTGCTCTAAGTAGCTTATGGCATGACGGAAAGTTAGGTACCACTAGCAGCAAGTGACAAATTAATCTTATTCTTAAGGATGATGTGTTAGATGCGTATAAGGACAGATTATCATCTGTAGGCGATATTAATTTCTTTCAATGGGCGCCAGGGTACGAAATAATAAGAGATAAGCAATTGAATAAATATGATTTAATAGGGAATATCCAGAGAAAGAAGAAAATGATTTCATAAAAATTTCGGCTGAATTTAAACTAGGAACGATGATGCTTCTTCCTTTGTTTTTGATTGTAGCTGTCATCACTCATTTCGTCCGAGTCTGTTATAGCGCACACACCAACCCCAGAACGATTTCGTTTTCCATCATTCCTTTCATCTTCTCCGTCCTCTTCAATATCCCTCGCATCTGGAACATTACCCTGTGCTCGGCCCTCTACGCGATACGGTGCGCGCTTGGCACCAGAGTGCTTGCAGAGAATAGAAATATGCTGGTCTCGGCACGGGGATCCGTTTCCCCCATTCCTAATCTTGTTTGTATCCCGTATGCCATCTATTCTATCTCCATCATCGTCATCTTCCACTTCCTCACTCTCTTCGTCTTCTTCATCTTCATCAATTGCCTCACCCTCCTCTAAATCCTCCTCGCGATCGCGTACTTCGGCAGCCTGTCGATATTTCCGAGACCCTGCTCCTAAGATTCCGATTCCACTTCCCTCAATAATTTTCGCCAAAGCGGCAGTAGAAGCATGCATACTGGACATATTAAGCGACCCTGACTTTGATATATCACTGGTTACAGCAAACTGGTTTCGGTAGTGGTGATGGTGGTGGTGGTGGTGATGATAGGATCGCCTTGTCTCATTCATATCCACA